ACCATTCAGATGAGTTCATGAGATATTACATACACAGTATGCTAAATTTAACCAAAGAAGATGAAGCATAGTATCATTATTGGCCTCTGAATTCAGTGTAGTATGGCTCATTTATCTGTGTATATTGATTCGAGGTGTTGTACTCCTACTTCTATTTTAAAATTGAAGGAATCTTCACTGGTATTATACAGCCTCAAAACATCACTTCCATTCTAAACATCCATTTTATAGGCGCAAGGAAACAAATCACCATGTAAAGAGATGAATTTTCCAAATCCTTACCACAATTAAGGGGTAAAATACGAAATACCCCTTCAATAATTTCAGAAGATGTAATCGTAAAATTCTATTCGTATCAAGTTAAGTATATCATGCATGTATAAATGTATAAAAAGAGACGAAAAACCCTTAACAGATTTTAGAACATCCGATGATGAGTCTTATATCATGATTTAAAAAAACCGAAATTGACAAACTTCACATATAAATTTAATTCACTGCCTCCCTTAAAATACGCACAGCACATATTTGTCTTTTAATGGCTAAATACCGTTTCATGGTAAAAAATAGAGTCACGATGCCAGTCGGGCACCGATAATTGCTGAAACGGTGCTGTATAATCCACTTGGCTCCTGTTTCCAGTAAAGAAGACTTTATCAGATAATTGTATATATAAGCATATAGGTATAAGAATATTTATTCTTGCTATCGTTAGCAGCTTATATATGCATATACATGTGTACATGCTGCTTAGCCTGTTTCTCGCAACCCTCATCTCTGGGCTCTCATCGGGAGGATCCCTGACGCAAGCACACATCTATTTAACTGAGGCTCCTCCAAATTAACTGGGTCATTTAAGAATAAGATAAAGGCCTTTCTGCCCACATTTATAAAACAGTCATGATTGGACTCGGGCAAATTATCCCTTATGATGTAGTAGAAAAACAGCCTATTGTGATACTCTTCCATGATCCTCATGGTTGTGTGAATAGTATGATTGTTCCTCTGCACCTGTTCCTCTTGAATGTTTCCATCCACGCTATACACACTCGTTAATTTTCCCAAATAATACGATAAAGGGTCCTTCATCGTCTGCAGCTCCTTTTCTTAATGTTCGTGCAGCTTTATCCTTCTCTCAAGCATACCCTCCCTGAATAAATTATCATTCACCGAATTGATTATTTCATCTATATCTTCTTTCTTAAAGCTATGGAAAACGATGTACTATTGTTCAATTAACTAAGGTGGGTCATACGAATTTTAGCAAAATTCATCTACTGTTTTTACACTTCACACCCTGTCCTCATAGAATTTGTCTATAATTTCTGAAATAAGGGTGTGCTAATTCCTTTTGTTTAGTATTGTAATTTGGTAGAGGGTTATGATACAGGCTCTTTTCAATTTCAGGAAAATAGTCTGCCCATTCTCGCTCTAATGTATTATCATTTCTCCTTAGAATAGGTTGCGAATCTTCCTTAACTCGGTCAGATAGGTATTCAGCCCTTCCTTGCGCGTGTTCATTATATATACATTCATTCTGGTACTTCTAGTGCTCAGTTAAATTTAGTGCCTGACTCTTGATGAAAGGTGCCACTTCAACAGTAACATTCG